TGCCCTACTTGAGGCCAGCGGAAGGCTCTGGACCGATTCGAAAAGAAACGGGCAAGGGACCTGCATGGGGAATCAAACCCGAGAGGACCACCGGCATCTTTTCCATACATAAGTCCGATAATATCGGTCTGGGTGCCCTGTCCAATTCCCGCTAAAGCAGAACAAACAAACCAACGAACGAACATTCCTTTTCAGATCTGTGCGATACATTCCGTTTGCCATGGGTGCCCGCGTCTCATGTCTGAAATTACATCTCCTGCCGTGTTTCTCCATGTTCCTCCACGGCAAGTCAGAGAGGAAACAGCCCGACCCGCCTGTCTCACAAGCCGCTCCACATTCCTCTCCGTTTGTGTGCGGTCCGATGGAACATCCTGGCAGGCATTACGCTGAGAACTGTTGAGGACGTAAAGAATATATATAAAAATATATGTGTGTGAATGTATATATCACCCAAGCGAAAATCCTGCCTGCACCAACTTTCGCACCTTGCAAAAGTTGATGAATTGTCTCCACCTCGGTCGCTACAACCAAAGCAGCCCTTTCAACCACACCTCTCGACTGCAAGTGCATGCAAGTGCCTTCAAGGCCTGAGCACCACACGTGTCATCACCAGCGGCCAGTGTGGTCAAGTCCCCAATGACCCAAAGCCGCAAGCGAGCACGGGTGATGGCAACCTGATTGTGGTGCCCCGGCTGGTTTGAAAGCTTGATTGGCCCAAGGATCTTCTGGCCAGCACGTGGGCAAACAGGCTCCAACAAGGAGTCAACGCATGTTCATAGGAAACATTGGAATTCATGAGGTGAGGGCACTTTGTGAGATTTCTGGGATGCTTCGTTATCCACATCAGGTCGCTCGGCTATAGTCTGGTCCAACCCTATTTCAACCGAAGCTTCATAGCATATCATAGCATTTGTTGCGTGCCTTTTTGAGAGGAGTTTGTATCCACAAGCCAAGTCCACAAGCTAGCCAGAGTACAATCATTGAATCATAATGACTTATGTACAGTAACATTATATAGTATATAAGAAGAAGCGAGTCAGTGACTAGCACAATGATGCAAAATGCACATGGTGCACATGGTTGACGCATGGCCACGCCACATTGAGCCGTCGCTTATCGCGGACGAATCCGATGTTGCCCTTCCGGTTGGAGCGCACGGTGCCTCAGAGGTCCCGGACGATGCAACAAAATGCTGCCGATGTCCTTCCCTAGTAGCTTCTTGTCTATCCACCCCTTCAATGTTTACGTTAAATGCCCTTCCTTCTTGGACTATGGGGAGTGGCTTGAAATCTGGCTCGTCAGGATGTCATATCATTGACCCAGAAATACCTAGAATCTCAAGTACAAAACATCAATCTCACCCAGCCTCCCTCTGGGTGGGATGGGCCAGGTATGAAGGGAAAGCTGGGTGAGTAGTACTGAGGTCTGAGTGCAGCACTTATCACGATGATATCTTGCTCGTTGCCCTGAAAGCCATCCACCGTTTTGACCTTGAAACATGTGAAATGTGATGGGATAACGCTGGATAACTTCCACGTGCATGAACATGCAGCTTTGTCCATTGCGATTGATGGCATTCCTGCGAGTCCACACCCAAGTTTTTTGCGCCGAGCAACTTTCTGCATGACTTTCTTACGGAGTCTCAACATTCCCGCCGAGCAGCCAGCTTTACCTTCTTCTCCAGTTTCTTGCTCTCGACCTCAAACGATATATTCCGATATATAACTATGACAACTATGATATATCAACCCTAGAACTTCAGAGTGGGCCTTGGCCTGGGAGCGTGTGACTTCACATGCAGCAGTTTGCGCCGTGTGGCAGTGCTAAGGCTGCCGGAAATTTTCTCAGTGATGAGGTTCACCTGCAGCCAAGCTACAGCTGCTGATCCCTTTGTGTCTGTCTGACTGGAGCGCCAACTATATAAACTGCCTACGGTAGCCCATGGGAGTTCTAGAAGGACCCTGCCCGGAATATGACATCACGACCAAAACCAAAAGCGTTCCAGTGGCCTGCCCATTGTAGGGGGAGATGATGCCCACAGACAGTCGTTGATCCGTCTCGTTCTTGCGGAAGAAGTTCTGTAGCAGCTTGATCACCTTAGTTCTGCGGCGATCTTCAATTAAAATTCACCCCTGGCCCGGTTAAAAGTTAAATTAAAGGCCTACAGTAATTCTCAGTCACCCAAGTGAGACGAAGTGGGGTCGCGGATGGAAATTCCCCCAGTTCCAAGGAGCCAAACGACCTTGCCCCGAAAAAGGAAGCCTGCAAGCCTGCCACAAGCAGGTTCACCTCTCTAATTACTGGGAACAGGTCGCCCAGAACAAAAAGTGTTGGGGATCTTGATTCAAATTAACTCAAGCTCAGCTTTTCCGCGGCCAAGTCTGCTAGCGAACTGCAAGTCTCTGGCGGCCGCAGCCGATTCCACTGCTGGAGATGATGTCTGGGCACAGTCACTGCTCACAGGGATCCGAATTCTCTGCATGGTTTATACAATATGCGTCAGTTGCATGTTCTTGCATGACTTGGCCCATGTACAACAATTGAGGCCCATGCGACCCCATGCAGGACCTCCCCCAGCAATGATTCAAAGATGTGAGCCGTTCGGCTATTCGCACGGAATGCCGACTGGTCCAATGGATTCCACGTTCATGAGTTGCTAAGGTCAGCAATGCGACTTCTGAAATGTCCTGCCGACTCATAACAAGCAGCAAATGGTGGCCAAAGCATCTAGTTTCTACACAATGGCTTCTGCCAATCTGCCATCCTGGTCTCTACAGTTCTCTGCTGGAAGAGACTGGTTTCCAAACGAAGGGTACCTTTGTCTTTACTTGCCTATAATGGTCTTGACGTGGTCAATCTTCCAGAGAGCCCAGGAACATGCCCACCGGAGTGGCTGTCAAGGTTGCCGCATGTCCCAAGCTTCTTATTCAACGGAATGTTCACAAGCCCCACAGATTTGTCCACAACCTGATTGACTTTCTAAGGGCACGGGCTGCCATGACAAAAATGGTGGCATCACCGGTGCCAAAAATCGAAGATACGCAGTCCAGCTGCGATGGAAGAGACATCTTGGTCCAGCTGGTCAATCAAAAAGGACCCTCCGATCTACTATAATATATGTGCATTTGGCACGAATCTACTCCGCTGATGGGTATGCACAGCCGGCGGAGTTGGGAGCTTCAAGGCTCATGCCATTTCCGCCTCACGCGATCCGATCACATCCAGCCTGGTTGGTGCAAATGGTTGGTTGAACTATTCCAGTATGGAATGTGGATGGGAGGAATAAGGCAGCACAAAATTGCAATTTATGGAAGCGTCAGGCTGGGAGCCGATACGTAAAGGGCGTGGCTGCAAACAGGGTTGGAGGGGAAAAACATGTTAAAAGGATGGTTCTAGGACTATTTGTTGGAGGTTTGCCTTATAGATTTTATGTTGGAGTTCATCCTTTGAACCTTGCCTTTGATGTTTTTTTGCGATGTTGGTTGTAAGACATTTTTCACCAAAATTTTCCCTTTCATCTTTTTTTCAAAGATGAGGTGAATAATTGTTGTTGCTGTTGTGTTTTATCTCTGGGTCTGGGTTTATGGGTTGTAAGTATGCTGTGGTTATAGGTTGTATTTTTTTTATGGGTTGTAGTTATGTAGGTAAAGGTAGTAGGTAGTAGGTAGTAGGTAGTGGTAGTGGTAGTAGTTGTAGTAGTAGTCACAACAAGTTTAAACAAGCACAAAGAAAAGGCCAGGGACACAGGATCAAATTAATAGGGGGTAGTAGTGCAGATTATTGATGGGGGACCGGCCCTTGTGAGGGGTACCCTTTGTGAGCTTGTCAAATGATTGTTTTTAATTGTTTTGTAATAAGGCAATTTATAGGCCCCGAGCCCTAGACATGTTTAAGGCTTTAAGGATTTCATCAAACATGTAGTAGGTGGTAGGTGTTAGGTGGTGATGGTGGTGGTGGTAGTAGCAGTCGCAATAGCAGTAGCAGTAACAGCAGCAGCAATAGCTAGTAGCAGTAGCAGTAGTAGCAGTACCAGTAGTAGTACGAAAAATTGACCTGGTTGTGGGCTCGGATTAACTGGGGGGGATTGTTGGTAGAAAACTAGACCACAGGAGGGGAAATCAACAGCCAATAATACTTTTAAGTTGGGCAATTTCCGGCGGCTTTGTGGGCTCGGGTTAACTAGGGGGGATTTATTAATCCTGACTTGACATTAGAATAGACACATCGTTAGGTTTAAAAGCAAATTCAATTTGGAATGCAACTGCAGTAGATACAGCAGGATTGACAGCAAATGCGGTAAATTCAAATCAGTATTACTCCGCAAACATTACAGCAGATACTACTTGGACTCACACTGCCACTGAGTATATGAGGTATGATTATACCAATTAAACCCTTGAAACGAAACAGGAACTAGACATAGAGAACGGTCTTAAAACAGACACCATTGATAGTTTAACCAATACAAATTTATCGTTTCTTTCCAGAAACGGCAGTGAGTATATACAGTTTCAAGCATCCCCTGAAAGAATTGTAATGAATAAATTGATGTTGTTAAATAATGGTAGAGGTAAAAGTCAGTTGTTTGAAGGAGTTGAAGGGGCACTGAATGTATTGAGGATAAGAAACTTGGATGAAACAAACCCGTATATCATCCTTGACTGTAATGATAGAGAAAATGACTTAAATTGACTCAACACCAGTGCCAAGTTGAGCTGCCTTGTTCAAAGGGTGCATCGAAAGGCAATAAAGCACTCTGCTTCAGAGATGAGCGCAGTCAACGCTGTCTAAACGGGGTCATTTGGGTCCAACTTTTGGTCCGCCCGGTGATGCCTGGTCCCGCACTGTGGCACCTTTATGAACTATCACCTGTCGTCAACCAGAAGGTAAACTGCAAGGCGGGTCAGTTCTAATATTCTAATAGCGATGGCCTCCAACCTCAGATTCTAGTCAGTCGCATCCGTCTACATGGCCGCAAGCTTTTGCACGGCTCTTGTGCCTCAGCATTCTTCAACCTCGCCAACCTCTGTTTCCGAGGGAAGCCGTGTTGGAGATGGTGGGAAAGGTGGCTGCACCTAGCGAGGCCAGCAGCAAAAAGTAAACGGCTAAGCGGCTAAGTGCCGAAGAATTCTCCAACGCCTGGCCTAGTCCAGCTAGAGAGCCAAATTCAGGTTGTTGGTTCATTAGACCATTAACCATTGCAGCACTTCCCCCCCCTCGATTGTGGGCATTCATTCCAGGTCGGGTAGGAGAAACGAATGAAAAACAAGGAAAAGGTATGGCTTATGATGGTTTCATCTGCATTCATCTGCGACAATCTCATAAGCCCATGAAATCCATGCGAAAATAATCCTCCAACTTTGAAATTGAATGATATTCAAAATCATGAATCCCTTGGTTCATCAAAATTCATCAAAACTTTAATTTGGTGGAGTGCCCTCTTTGATGTAACCAGGCCATGAAATCGACATGAAGTCCACTGACCAACTGGGCAACAAAGACTGACTCAAACTTCATGCACCTGCGTTGGCTTCGCACAATATGTGTCCCAGGGGGCTTGAGGAGCGGCTTGATGGACTTCTTCTGCTGGAAGTGCCCAGGGGTCGTCTGGAACTGGTTGGACAGTAAGGAACGGGGTGGCTGGCATAAAGCCCGGTGGTGCTGCCTTTGCGCGTGGTACCGTTTGTGTTGGCGGTGTTGCATGGATCGGCGGTGCTGCATTTGCAAGTGCTGGTGCTGGCGTTTTTGCCCAAGGGGCCGGGCTTGCCGGTCCAGCCGCAGGGTACGACGAGGAGCGAACATTTGGTTCTGGATGATATTGCCTGGGTTCCAAACCACTGGGCAAATGGAATGAATTTATATATGTGTTTTCTCAGGGCTTGCCAATGCACACCGGTCATCCTTCCGAGCATCTTCCGGAGTTTGATGACATTCTCAGTGTACCAGGCAGTGCCCATATAGTTTCGCAAATTTTTCCTCAGGTATCTACTTTCCCGATACAGAACGCAAAGCGAAACTGCAATCTGCATAGCCTAAGCCTAAGCATAAACTGTACACTTGGTGTTCTCCAAGTTTCTGGTGCTCTTTGGACCCTTGTGGGTTCGCAGCTGTGCCGCAATGCGAGGTCTCATCCTGAACCCACTTCCTCAGCGATGTACGGTCTAACCGTCTAACCAGAAAGAGCACACAGGACAAATCAAACCGGCGCCCTTCGCCCAAGGGGAGAAAATAAGACCAACATAGTATAGTGCAAATGCCTCTGACATGTCACTTACACAGGAGGCACTTCTTCCACTTCTCAGAGTTCGGATCGCCGTCAATGCTGGGGACCTGGGCGCATGCAGAACAGCAGGGAAGCCTCATAACGCTCCTTGTCAGGCTCCAAAAACTTGGAACAGTGGCCCCATTGCTGGCCATGCAAGAAGGCCGCCAACAACTGCTAATATGACTTGGTCTGAGTAGTCAAGTAAGTGCGATGAGGAAGTGAGAAGGAGTGAAACGGAAAGGAACCAGCTTCGCGAGAACGAGTTGCAGTTTGGTTTGACACCTTCCTGGACAGCTTGCAAAGTGAGTGTCGGGGTGCTTCACTAGGTGGCACCCTCATCTTTCAGTGTTGTACTCTGACGCAATGGCTCGAAGCAACGGGTGGAGGATCACAAAACCAAGCGATGCTGTAATAAAAGCAAAGGACAAACAAGGGTCAAAATGAAAATCAATGTCAGAAAATAAAGACCAGCCAGTGCAACAAATAAACAACAAGAACTACAACAAGAACCCGTAGCAGCAGCACACACAATACTAGTACTACTACCTAGTCGTCGTGGTGGTAGTAGTAGCCGCACCCGCAGCAGTAGTGTAGCCGTAGTAAATAGAATAGTTACGTGACACGTCATAGTGGTAGAAGCAGTAGTAGTATATATAGTCGTCGTCGTCGTAGCCGCAGTCAGTAGTAGTCAGTAACAGTCAGTAGTAGCCAGCAGTAGCCAGTAGAAGCCGGTAGTAGTAAGCAGTCGTCAGTAGTAGTCACTAGTAGCCAGTAGCCAGTAGTAGCAGTAGTAGTAGTAGCAGCAGCAGCGGTAGTAGTAGTGGTGGTAGCAGTAGCAGCCGCAGTAGCAGCAGTAGCCGTAGTAGTAGTAGTAGTAGTAATAGTAGTAGTAGTAGGAGCTGGGAGCGGTAGGAGTAAAAGTGGCAGCAGCGCACTGGGTCACAGTCACACAGCGACTCGCTTGCCCTTGCAACCGCGACTTGCGCACACAGGCATGTGGCACGTGGGTGGAGGAAGGTTTCTTCCTTCTCTTAATTCTAATTAAAGTCTATTTACTTATTGTTTCTACTAGCTTCTTGTTCCTAGTAGTAAGGCCCTTGCTCCTAGTAGCGATGCCCTTTGCTCCTAGTAGCGTCCTTTGCTCCTACCTCAGGTCACAGAAGGTCTGCCGCGTTGGCATGGCCCTTTCTTCACCCAAGTTTTACCATCAGGTGGCTCACACAAGGTATGCTACTACATTGGAGTGGTTCCTTCCTCCTCTAAATGTATTGTCGGGTGACACTGTGCGGCAGCAGTAAGTGGAGCAGCAGCAGCAGAAGTAGAAGTCGACCAAGAAGTAGAAGTAGCAGCAGCAGCAGCAGTAGTAGCAGGTAGCAGGTAGTAGTAGGTATTAGGTAGTGGGTACTGTAGTGGGTAGTTAGTAGGTAACGTAATAAGTAGTCGGGAGTGGGTAGTATGTGGCAGTAGCAGTAGCAGTAGGGGTAGGAGTAGGAGTAGGAGTAGGAACCGGAGTAGTAGTAGGAGTAGTAGTAGTAGTAGCCAGTAGTAGAAGTAGCCAGTAGTAGTAGCAGTAGTAGTAGTAGCCAGTAGTAGTAGTGGTAGTAGTAGTAGCCAATAGTAGTAGCCAGTAGTAGTAGTAGTAGTTGTAGTAGTAGTAGTAGTGGTAGTAGCCAGTAGTAGTAGTAGTAGTGGTAATAGAAGTAGTAGTAGTAGTAGTAGTAGTAGCCAGTAGCCAGTAGTAGCAGTAGTAGCAGTAGTAGCAGTAGTAGTAGTAGTATGGTAGTAGTAGTAGTAGTAGTAGTAGTAGTGGTCGTACCAGTAGCCAGTAGTAGTAGTCGTCGTCGTCGTCGCCGTCGTCCTCGTGCTCGTAGCCAGCAGTAGTAATTACAAGGTTACGCAAGGAGTTTGCAAGAACTCGTTGCACTGGAGGGCGCAGCGCCCCTTCACGGCGTTCTGGGTGTGTGCATCGGATCCTATCCTGGCACCACACAGAGCACACCTGTCAGACCGTGCATCGTCATACTGTCTTGTCTCTGTCTGTCAGTCGGTCTTCCTTCCTTCCTTCCTGCCTGCCTTCCTTCCTTCCTTCTTTCTCCTTCTGGTGTTTTTGATCCCTACTTGTTTGCTTTATCCCTCTCCCAGGAGCAACCCGCCCTTGCCCACTTGCCACGTGGAGACAAGCAGCCCATGCCAAGTATTCCAATTCCGGGGCGGGATGGCCGGTCTTCTTCAGCCTCTCATATTCTCGCCAGGCCTCCAATCTTCGACAGTGATCTCCTGCTGCGCTTGTGTGAACTCCCACCCAAGTACAGCCGTCAAAGTAGCATACCCGCGGCAGCCAGGTGAGACCACGCGTTGCGATTCTATCACACCTTCACTGTATTCATGCAACCAAGCCCTCTCCTGTTCCAATGTGGTTGTCATCGACAACTTTGTTACAGGGAATGCAGCGGACCTTATTGGGCAAAGTAACGGTGAATCATGTGGCCAAACCACATACAGTAGGATCCCATGAAACTTCGTGCTGGAGGGATTCATGAGGATGTCGAGGGTTCGAGCCACCTTCCCCCTGTCAACTGGAGGACCAGCTTGCCAGCCGTCGGCCAAAGAATCTATAGTACTGCCAGTACTGCAAGAAACTCTCAACACTGCCCTGGTTCATGCAATCACCCACCTCAAGCACCTTCGTATAATCATTCACTACAAGTCAATCATTGCGATGAAAAATGAAAAACAGTCTTGTTCCACCCAAGATGCCAAACCATCAGGCCCTACCTGCTGCCAGTCTAGGAGGTGTGCCACTGGTGGGCACACGGGTGACAAGGAGGCCGTCAAGGGCGGCGCCGGCGCAGGCCCGCGTGGAGCTGCCACAGGCGGCGGGGCAGGAGGACCTGGCGGTTGGACTTTACAAGGTTTGCAGCACCTAGCCGGGCCTTGTGACCTTGTGGTCCTCAAGAATTGATTGGGGATCGACCCACTTTCAGGGGTCATGGCCTGCCAAAGCTGGAGTGGCCCACGCGTGCTTCTTCTTGTGCGCCTCCGAATCTATGTGGGCCTGCAAGCGGGCGATTGCACATCATGTGCACGCAGATCTGTGCTGAACATGTGCAAAGTGTAATCATGTTTAAAACCATCCTGATGCCAAACTCGGTGGACATTCGAGTAGGGACAAACAAGTGCTTTCTCAATCAGTGAGTTGGTACAGTTAGCACGGCGTTGTAAGAAAATGAATGCCTCGAGGGTATTGTCATTGAGATGCTTGTTGCAGTATTCGCAGTAGTACCGCCCCTGCACTTCCATCCACTTTTTGTCTTGCAACCTGATCAATGAGGCTCAATGCGAGGAATAACGATGTCTCATATGCACTGTCCCAGCAAAATCGCCATGATCAACATGAGGTGGATATATAATTGCACGAATTATCCAAAGGGCAAAAAAAAAGAACACCAATGCTGATCGTATGTGCGCACCTGTTTGACCCAAATCTCTCTACAAGTGCTTCAAGCATGCAACCTAGGTCCTCAACCTAATGGCCCGTTAAACGTAAGTGCTCTTCCCGAGAGCGTTTCGGCAAAACCCCTGAAGCCTTCAAGGATCTTCAAGGAACCCAGCCAAAGAAACACCATGCTGTTGGTCTTGGTGGGGGAAACGCTTCCCAAAAATGGTTCAAGGTCCACCACTTTTCCTGGATAGGCTGCCTCAGTTCGTGAGGGTTGTTTAGGGGTTGGGAGTGACCCTCCAAATACAGGAGGCACCGTGGGCTTTGTCACAAAAGAGCTACCTCAAATCACTACAAGTGATGCAACCAGGACTCTGCACCCACCACACGCCATCTCCATAATCGTACGCCTCAAGAACCTCGGACTCTGGCTTGGAGGGTGCAAGGTATGCAAACTTGCTCACAAAGATCCTGAGAAACAAAAAAGGCGCGCTTCCACAATGTGTTTCCAAGGCATGAAACGCAGCCTCTTTTGACACTCAAAAGGTTAAGTGTTGTCGCAGGGCAAAGCTGTCCGCAGCAAGTTAGAGAAGGACAACAAAAGGAACATGATTACAAACGGGTTTGGTGCAGAAAAGGCTGCATGCCAAAGGGATTCAATCAGTTTCAAGCAAATCATGATCAGTTCGGTGCATTCAAAGCAACACCTTGCGAGAATGCCTTTTTCTTGGCGTCCTCCAACTGCTTCTTCCACTTGCTTTCCTCTGCCAATCAACTGTAACACAAGGGTTCGGCACTTACCACTCACGCTTCTAATGTCGCTTGCAGGACGTCGTGTGGACACCAAGCTAAGCTCAGAAAACCATGTTGTTGCCTGTCTTGCTGTCAGATGCTGTCGAGACTTTCTCCAATGCCATGCTTTGCGTACAGTATTCGTTTGTTGCGATAGGTCTCCTCTCTCTGCTTTTGCCGCTGCTCCTTCTCGTAATTAATTTCGCATTGCCTCAAACCAGTGCCAAGAAGGCTGCAAAACACCAAGAGAAGCAGAGAAGAGCTTGTCATGACTCGTTGGCCATTTATATATATATAATATATACACATATATAGGATTCTATTTTTTCAACGTCAATGCATCCCCAAGCACGTGCCTCTTCCACTCATTGTCCCGCAGATTCTTCTTTTGTGCGATTTCTGCTTTGGCCTTTCGCTCCTGAACGTCCATATTGTTGGCACATGTTCTGCAGCCCTGCCCGTTGAAGTGACATACATAAAATCCAGGAAAGAAACTCTTGGATGACAAGCAAGTGCCCTGGCATAAGTCAGGGATACTCAGGGTGCTGGATGGGGACTCGATTGTTATTTGGCTTACAGTAGCTGGAACACCGAAGGGCTTGGTACGGCACATTGGAATCGGGCAATGCTGTGGAATTATGACGCACACCTGATTCCTGTCCAACGAAATTGCAATTGAACTTTCAAGAGCATAAAGAAAGGCCTGACTGACCACTAGCTGCAATTTTACTTGGGAGAAGTAACTGGCCACAGAAAAAGGAGTTGTCCGCGAGCAGAATGCTCCTCCAGCTTCCGCTTCTCGATATCCAATTCTTCTTGGGAGGCGCAGCCCAGTGATCGCGCGATTTCAAGGTCTCTCCCGTGCAGGGTTTTCAAAAATGCGTCCTTGCAAGCAGATGCGAGCACGCACGGAGGAAAACACATCGGCCCAAATGCCCCAGACAATAGCAAACACAATTGATTATATCTAAAAATTGTAATGATACATGCACTCGCCTATTGCGGGGCCTACAGCGCTTACAAGCAGTTCCCGGGCAAGCCCACGGCGGAAGTTTCCGAAAAAGCAATTTGACCTATAGGAGTGTCCCTTCGCGCATGCCCTGCGGACCCCCTTTTTTCCCGGCCCACAACGATGGCGTCATGCAAGCAGCCCACAACGGCGTAGTCGCTCTGGCACTCTGCATGCGGGTCACACCACCGCACGTCGGAGTGAATGTAGTTACACAGGACTCCGAACTTGCATGTACAACCTGTCATACATGCGCAACCAGAGTCTTAACAATGAATGCAACCAAAGACTGTAAGAATGACAGGGCCAAAAAAATCAACCATAAGTACAAGCTGTCCTGTTAACAAACTAAACGACAGGGTGGCCCGAAAGCATAGTAGGAGTAAGCATCATAACGAAAGGGTTGCAAGCGAAAACGAAACTGAGGGATAAGCCGTTTGTCGGTAAAAATCAATCATCCTGCTCACCAGCGACACACCGCGTTTACACCAGCATGTTTCGCGGTCCCCAGTGGCACGGCGCCACGCAAACGCACTCCCCAACAAGGCCGCTCAAATCCGCATGGCACAGCAACATCACGAACGTACGTAATTTCACCACACAGTCTGCCACACACTATAGAAGCAAACATATCACATGATACCACCATTCATCCCGCTCACCAGCGACACGCCGCGTTTACGCCACCATGTTTCGCGCTCCCCAGTGGCACGGTGCCACGCAAACGCGATTCCCACCAAGGCCGCGCAAATCCGCATGGCACAGCGATATTACGGACGTACTTTCGCCACACCGTCTGTCACAGACTAAAAGCAAACACTTCTGAGTCCAGCTCTGCAAAGCTGTTTCCCGTACTACATTTGTACTACAAACTGGGCACTCCTGAGTCCAGCTCCGAAAAGCTCTTTCCCGCACTACATTTGTACTACAAACTGGGCACTTCTGAGTCCAGCTCCGAAAAGCTCATTCCCGTACTACATTTGCATTACAAACTGGCCACTTCTGAGTCCAGCTCCGAAAAGCTCTTTCCCGCACTACATTTGTACTACAAGCTGGCCACTTCTGAGTCCAGCTCCAAAAAGCTCTTTCCCGTACTAACTACATTTGTACTACAAACCGGCCACTTCTGAGTCCAGCTCCGAAAAGCTCTTTCCCGCACTACATTTGTACTACAAACTGGCCACTTCTGAGTTCAGCTCTGAGGTCACAAAGTACTGCGCCTGCCACGAAATCTGCACTTCGAGGTTCACTAAGCACTGTACCTGCCACGAAATCTGCGCTTCGAAGTTCACCAAGTGCTGTGCCTGCCACGAAATCTGCACTTCAAGGCTCACCAAGTGCTGTCCCTGCCAAAAATACAAGATGGAGCCCACGAACCCGAATGCAAACACGTTCCAAAAGCTACATATGTCCAAATGACACTCTTGTAGGACACTCTTGTGGGACACTCTTGTAGGACACTCTTGTGGGACACTCTTGTGGGACACTCTTAGAGGACACTCTTGTAGGACACTCCTGTGGGACATTCATTTGGGACACTCTTGCGGGACACTCTTGTGGGACACTCTTGTGGGACACTCTTAAGGGACACTCTTGTGAGACACTCTTGCGGGACACTGTTGCGGGACACTCTTGTGGGACACTCCTGTGGGACACTCATTTGGGACACTCTTGCGGGACACTCTTGTGGGACACTCTTGTGGGACACTCTTGTGGGAAACTCTTGTGGGACACTCTTATAGGACACTCTTGTAGGAAACCCTTTGTGGGATACTCTTGTAGGACACTCTTGTGGGACACTCTTGTAGGACACTCTTGTGGGACACTCTTGTAGGGCACTCTTGTGGGACACTCTTGTGGGGCACTCTTATAGGACACTCTTGTGGGACACTCTTAACTCTTGTGAGACACTCTTGTGGGACATGGTTGCGGGACACTCTTGTGGGACACTCTTGTGAGACACTCTTACGGGACACTCTTGTAGGACACTCTTGTGGGACACTCTTGTAGGACACTCTTGTGGGACACTCTTACGGGACACTCTTGTTGCACACTCTTGTAGGACACTCTTGTGGGTCCCTGTGGGTCACTCTTATGGGACACTCTTGTCGGACACTCTTGTGGGACACACTTGTGCGACACTCTTGTGGGACACTCATACGGGACATGTGAGACACTCTTACGGGACACTCTTGTAGGACACTCTTGTGGGAC